AAGAAAGAATTAAAATGAAATATTGGCAAAAATTTCGTGCATATGTTAAGTTGATGCAGGAAAAGTTTAAAACAACGTTTAATTCGAATCTAAACAACGAATTTTCGATATCCTATTTTTTCTGATTTTTTACACATTTTCCTGTATTTTTAAAAAGTTTGATCCTGTGCTAATTCCTGCGCTTTCAAAAACTTGCAATCCGAGGCCAGGTTAAACTAAAACTAAATCTAGGAATAGATTTAGTTTTAGTTTAACTTTTTTTTCTCCATTTAGAATTCGAACTTGAATTAGACAGCTACTCTGTGGGTGTAGGTTTACAATAGTGTGAGTCATTTTGAATTACACAACCATCGACAAGCGCACTCGGCACCCACACGTAAAATTGCCCTTTCTCATATTTCAAATTGGCCTCTACGCGCTGATGATGCTTTAAAATGTAGCTGTTTTTACATTTTAACAATAATTTTTTCAACAAAAGAAGGAGATAAAAGAATGCCTCATATATACAGAATACATTGTTGTCCTATTAGTCAGTTGACTGTTGCCTTCGAAGGACCCAATTTTACACTAAAGTAAAGAAGAAAATGTCTGCTATTGTACACCGTTAAATGAGATATCGTTACTTTTGGCATCAAATTTACATTGATAATATGCTGTCAGAATACAAAACTTTTTCTATTATTCATTTATTTATTTATTTATAGGTGCGTGGATAAATATTTTTTATTCGAAAGTGCTATCAGAGCTACATTATCGTTTGCTTACATCAAGCATATTTTACAAGTGCAAAATTTCTCTTTTCTTTTTCGCCTAAAAAAATGACTACTCTAACTTGATAGGAGGTCTGTATACTTCTCGTAGAAAGAATAAAGGTATATCAACAAGTGTTAGTAAAGGTGTTACTATCATTTAATTTGGTCAATTGAAGAGAAAAGAAAATGGGCTGTGGGTGTTGTAAGGAGACAAAAATTGTTGATGCAACATGGGCTGTTGTTCAAACACAAAATGTCGCAGCAACAGAAATACCCTATGGCTATGTGTTTATTTATCCAGGTAAGCCTAAATTTAAAAAAGCTGCTGTTCGTCTCAGAATAAGATATCAATGGAAATCTCTGAAGTTCGAGATATGCTTGCTACACTGAAAACAAAAAGATTTTCTAAGAACCTAAGATCACTTTAAATTGACCTTCAATGTTTTACGTAAAGCTTCTGAAAGCTATCTTTTTTTTCAGTGTACTACAGTTCACTGACTTTGTTGGCACGGATTTTTCATTTTATCTCTTTGGTCCATCTCTACTGAGAACTAAAACTGCTCATTCGAATACACTGAGACTTGCAGCTAGATATTATATTCTTCGAGAGGATATATTTGGCTACATGTCAATATTTCTAGGTGTTTCAAAATCCAATGAAACATATACATGTCCGATGCTTTCAATTCATACTTATCGACAATCATCAGAGAAAACTGCAGTTGGCTATGCAGAAGCACAATTTTCAAACAAGAAAAAATTTGATGAGAAGGTCGGTCCTCTAGTCACATCAAAAGAAGAACACTTATCTTCGGATGAAACAACCATTATGATTCCAGTTGAAGATATTATCAATATCTACTATACGTCTGGTATTAAGAAGAGTGTTAAAGCACAAGAACATTCACGTCTTGTACCTGTAGTTGAAGGAAACGGATGTTGTGGCTGTTGTGGCTGTTGTAAAAAAGCACCGAAACCAAAACGTCAAATTGACATTATCGAAGAGAAGAGTGCAGAGCGAGTTATTACAGTACATATTCAGTATTCGAAGTACAGTAATCTGGACACTGTATCAAATGCACGGATTCTTTCTGAATCAGATCGTCTACAATTCTACAAGAATCAATTCCAGCCGAATACAGAATTGAAATTCTATCTAGTTCGTAATGCGGAGTACGATTCAGTCAACTTTAATGAGAAGAGAGTGCAGGCTGAAAATCTTTGCCGTATCATCATGCAGCTGAAGGGAATAAACGGTGGTGGTGCTGTCAGCAGTGAACGCCTTCATCCGAAAGAGGGGGAGGTACTTCCTGCTGTTGCTGCTACTATATCTTATCCCAGTCCACAAGATCTTCAACAAATACTGAATCAATCTTACTATGGGATCTTTGGGGATGTACATCAGGAACGTTTACATTCAATTGAGACAAAACAGGATTTCGGAACACATGTACCAGTGCCGACAACTACAACAGTTTTAGCATCAATAGAAGCGCGGCCAACAGATAAGAAAGCAGCAAAAGCGATTGATTAGTTTACAGAAGACATAAATAGACCAAGATGCAGCAGGCTATTTGTAATTGTAAAGTTTCTATTTTCTAACTGTAATAAAAAAGTTTCACATCTGAATGGTTTCACCAAAATAAACAGGTTTCATCATCAACAAAGATAATGATTGAAATAAATACTGTTTTTGTATTAATGTTTTCTGGTTGAAATATAGTTACTGTATGTATGATTTTTTCATTTTTCATCACGCGTTCATTTTAATTTACAAAAAATAGAATATAATCAAAAACTGGCTTTGTTTTTCGCTTCATGAGATTTGTAACACTTTCTAATTTCTTATCATAATTATCAATGACTTTGAATCGTATGTAAATGTATACGTTGAACGATGATTCATATAATCAATACTCAAAACCCTAAGTGTCGCTCATTATAACCAGCATCCAACATTGATAATTGTGGTAAATAATTTCGTAACATATTTTTGATATCTCAGGTTCATGAGATGCCTAGTTCGAATTCGAATGTAAATGGACATCCAACTGCATGGTATCAATTCGAAAATAAGTGATAGAATTAGATTTAGTTTTAGATTTAATTTTAGATTAAGTTTCAGATTTAGTTTAAGATGGAGTGGATGTGGGTTGAGGGGGACTAAGGGGTAACTGTGGGTGGCGGTGCGAGTGGGGGTATATATGTATTCATATGTCGCATATATCGGAAAGTTAATCTAAAACTAAATCTAGGAATAGATTTAGTTTGAGTTTAGCTTTTTCTTTTCTCCATTTATTTTCGAACTCGAATTAGACAGCTACTCGATTATGAACAAATATTCCGATTGTTCTGCCGTCCGTGTTGTTCATCTATGGAAATTAGTCTCTCATGGAGTTGGATTAATTGCATTTAAGCTGGAAGCAGTCGATATAAATAATGAACGAAATGGTCTCTTCTTATTCGAATTAATTGAAAAGGTATTTGATATAAAGAAAATTCGTTTTATTTATGATGCATTTGCTGGTGTGTTACGCCAGAAAACACTGTGAAAATGATCTGTGAAATTTCTTTGTTGTGACTGATCCAAATCAACGACAAAAAAATTAATGAATTTCGGAATTTTGATACTATGAATAATACTATTTTGACTTTACTAGAAAATGTTTTTCATCTTTCTGATATGATCAAATTACCAGATGATGACAGTGACGAATAAAAACTTTATTTATTTAATTCTTCTTTTGTTGCTATCAACGGTTCATTTTCAAATAGCTTCTTAACTACTACTTCTGATTAGTTTTTCGATAGTTGCTATTCTTGTCATATCAATTTAGAGTCCATGTAACAACAAGTAGCGTGAATCGATTCTCGATTCACTTGACCCTAAGCTGGTAGGTTCATTCGTGTAAATTAACGGACAAAGAACCAAATACGATCCTCTATGTTACATTGGGATTGAGAAATCTCTGAATGGGATGGGCGAATAAATGAAAGTACTGTACGAATGAGATGAAAATCACTAAAAAAAACCGCACTTAAGGTCAAGCTGGAAGGTGGAACAAAGGTCCGGCCCAGAAAATTTTCGATAGTAGAATCAAAGTTCCATAGAGCGTATGTGTGAGATAGAATGAATGATATAGCACTGATGCTCGCAGTTGTTTCCAGTTGATCACTTAAAGCTTTGTAACTGACTCTTTGCATTAGCTGTTTATGTAGTAGGTTGTCACTTTGCTCTGAACGATTTTTTGCTTTATCGTTTGGCTTTTATCAATATAAAGTTTGATGTTGTCAGAAGTCTAAGAATAAAAATATTTTTCCAACTTATGCACTAAGTTTCAGTTAGTTTGCTAACAGCTATGCCCTTCCAAACAAACGCTACGACTGAATGTCGAAAGTGCAACTGAATAAGAAAAGATCAATTACTACTTTTATGATTTAATCTCAAGCACATCAGCCTTTGGATTTTACATATCAGAATATGAGATTCTCAAAAGAAATTTGTTGTATTATGTTTTTACAATGTTGAATGTATGCATGCGAGCTGTTCGATATATTGAACGGGGCTACCTATGTAACTTTATCATTTATTTGTGATAAAGCCATCACATCATATAGTATAAGTCATGTAGAAAATGAAAAATGCATGAGACAATAATTGGTTCGTTTCTTTATGACGTTTAGCAAAATTTTGAAGGAATATTTGAGTCATAAAATAGTATCCTTCAAATAGTACGTTTCTCAAACAGAAATATTTTCAAAGAATAATACTAAAAGTATTCTTCTCTGGCTTAGAAGATTGAGAGGATATAAATATGTGAAAAATTCTGTGAATAGTGACACAGAAGTCGCATTCTAGTACTCATGAAACTTTGAAAAACTTCGAATACAGTCACTCTGAACTCTGGTATATTTCCAAAACAGTTGCGCAAAAGCTCTTTTGTGATGGATGCAGAACATTTTACAATTTACTGTTTTGTTTTATCTAATCATAACACAGTAAGAGGAAAATAACAAACATATCAACTTTTTTCAGAACTTCAGAAGCATCTGAAGTCCCGAAATCTGTTGTTTCCCTTTGCTGTGAACACTTAATCAGAGATTTCTTAGCCGTTGAACAGGAATTTGATATACAATTTCTTTTATCCAAAACGCACGACAACACATACAAACGAAGATAAAGTGTGGTGAATAATAAACGATGAGAAGTGAGCTGATTTGGAAAAAGAAAGTAGATTTAGTTCAAATTATGTGGTGTGATGTGAAGTCTAGTAGTAACGCATGAGTTATTCTCCGAAGCATCGCATAAAGAGTGTGCCATAACGATGAAATGTTGCAATGCAATCTTTACGAAATTTATTGGATGCCAATGTATACGAGAAAAATGGGGCCTAAAAGACGAATTTATACAAGAAACATTTAAATGTCTGCTTTTTTAGTATCTTACCGCGACGGATACATAATTTAAGTTGACTGCTATTCCACTGATAAATGCTTCGATGGCTTGTCGATCAGAACTTTTCTCTATTGAACTAGTCCCAAAATCATACACATTATAAATCCCATAGCCAATAGTAAATAGCATAAAAGTGAAAATTTGGATTAAAGCTAATCGAATGAATTGAATATCTCTTTGTTGTCCAGCTGACTTTGTTGTTAAGTATATCGCTTGAACATTGAACCCCGTGATAGAAATCGGCACAACACGATGGCGACTCTGTCGTACATTGGTAAAAATCAGGATACTGAATAATGTTATTACGATAACTGGTACTGTGATAATCGTCATATTGTAGATATTGAAGAATAAAACATATGTGTCATTCAACGATGCGAAACATCGTTCGTTGCTGATTGCAAATCCAATTGGAACATGTATAATAAAAAGAGCAATCATACAAGGACCAATTACAATAAGTCGTAGAGCAATTTGAGCAGATGTCATTCGACGAATCATTTCATTTGTTGACGTCACCATCCATCGTTCAATCGAGATCAGACAGATAAAATAACGTCCAATTACTGCTCCTGTCTGAATCAGATAGTTGCGACTTTTGCAGAATATAATCGACGTAGTTTCCAGATTGAAATTGATTAACAAGGAAAGAATTCGACTTAGACCACCGGTGTTGAGAACGAACAAATTAGCTAATGACAAACAGATGAAGTACCATGCGCAAAAAATGTTTCCTCGAATGTTACGCTGCGAGAACAGAGCTATATTTGCAAAGTTGCCAAAATTACCAAGAATATAAACGGGCACTAGAAAGTAACGCGCAAGTTTGAGTTGAATTAGATTCAAGTCAGTTGTTGACACTGATGATGATGATGAATTCATTACTGTTTATATCAAGTCAGATTGGAAAACCTATCACGAGAAACTAATAATCTTAAATGTGATGTCAAAAGAAAACAAAATAAAAATGAGTAGTCATTTAAAAAAAAAGGTGCGCCCGTTCTTTTCGAGTGAAATTTGATAGAAACAAGATTTTAAAGCTACAGGTTTAACCTTTCGAAACATATATTATAGATTAAATGTGATATCCTAGGGCTCGCGTAGTTTTGTACATCTTCATATCTTCTTTCTAAAGATGAAGGCTACAGCTTTCTATCGTGTTTCTATCAAATAATATTTGAAAAATATTCGATGTAATGGGTATTATATGACTATTGAGCTTCACTTGAATACGAAATGATGTGCGAAGTAGCAATATCAATTATTGGAATAAATTAAAATTTAGAAAAAAATGAATCACCTTTCTCTACGATATATCACTAAACGGTTTTCAACGAAAGATATTATGTCTTTACTTGCTCTACACTTTTTTCTCTCCTGGCATAGTCGAAAATCGCTCTGTTGATTGCGTAGCTCAGCGGATTCAGAATGGTGTTGTAAAAACGCCAATGCCTAATTCATAATTACGCGAAACCTATCGAATAGATACCTGAGGAGAAGATTAGAGTACTGTTACTTAGATTGAATAGTCGTCGAGCATATAAACTAAAAAGGAATATGTTTCGTCGATGAAACTTATCTTTTCAATGCGTAGAAGAATATGTACTCAAAGTTTTCAAAAATTACAAAACCGTTTTAATCGAAGAAAAATACATATGAAGTGTGTCTAACTAATAGATCAACTTTTGTTCAAGTTTCAGATGTCATATAGTACGTAGCTCGTTTAACAAACAATTGAATTTCATGATAAAATGTAAAAGTACTATTTATAATTTTTGTTAAACATTCACAGCGCAGTTATTTTTTCTGGGTTTATTTTTGGTTGACATAATTTTGCCAGAAGATTTGCCGTTTTTGATCATTTGATAATAAATTCTTTTTAGAAAATTATGGAATTAATAAAAATAAGTGTCAAACATACATCAGTCATTTTAATTAGCTGACGAAATGTCGCAAAAGGAAAAAAATGCGTTTACCACTTGAAACTATAATTATCACAAAGTTTTTTCTACTCGAGTACTTTTTACCATTCTTCCGATGTTTCCTTTTTCTGAGTGCTCGTCAAACATATCGCACGTGTTGAATGAGCTGCATTCACTATTATTATCGATATATAAGAAAATGCGTAACGCTTATTTTTGCTACTGTTCTCATTTTTATTATACACAACTTTGCGAAAAACTAACTCCTTCGATAGTTGTTTCGGTAGCGTTATTCGTAATGAAATAAAACAGCCTTGCGCAGCAAATGAAAAGGTGGTATCAGCTCAATACCATTGTGATCCATGTCAATAGTGTTTTTTCAAAGAGAATTGCTGCCATTTGTCATTGCTCAATGTTGTACCGTGCTTTTGAATTGCACAAATGTGCTAAAATGAAGCTAAAGAAAACTGAAGACTTGGGTCGAAAGGCTTGATTCTGTGAAAACGAATTAATTAATAGATCCAGTTCTAAAAAAGATTCGACTCATAGAACTGAGAGTTGTCGTAGGCCTAGTATCAATCCTTTTATCATGTTCAAACATTATTTTCTGACTGATCGTTGTCGATTCATTTCGATGCGTTACTCTAGCAAGATATAAATTATAGTTGTATCTGTAACTATTTTATTTTTATCCTTTGACAGAATGAAAGCAGTTTTTCGTTTTTTTTTTGAGATTTTATGTCACCTGAAAAAACATTCGAAACTAACGCTCCCGGTTTAAGTGTGAGTGTGGGTAGGATGCTCACCGCATAAATTTAGAGTCACATCCACATCCTTATGTTCTAATTTTCTGGTGATTTTTGCTGACTTTCCTTTTGAAAAAAGTAATTATATAGATATAGTGTAATGTTTCATAATTTCAGATTTGTGCATTTTTTATTCTCCGACAATAAATCTTTTCCTTGCCTTGCTTCTCTATTTGTATAATATTAAACATAAACACAAGAGATATATTTATTTATTTTTCCTTTAATAAGTACAAAAATATTAGTATGAAAAAGGCACAAATTTACACAGATGTATACGTTTTTATTCGAACCACTTTTCAATCTTGACTCATATACATGTGAGGCAGATTAGTATATCCTCGTATATCTTATCAACTGATACTACATGGATATTGCTAATGATGTACTCTCGTCTGCAAGCAATGCTGTATAAAAGAATTGATTAAAAATAAAATCTCCAAATGAGAAAAATTTGCAGTTTTCTCAATAAATTCTAGATATTTATGACCGAAATATTGGAAGCAGATAGAATGACAACAAACGTATTAACAGTATAAATTTGAGACTGAGCGGCCCTGATTTATTCAAGAAATTCGGAGCATTAGGTGTTCTACTTATTTTAGATAGATAATAGAAAATCAAAAGAACTTTAAATACAAAAATTAGGCAAAGAGAGATAAAATGAAATCATTTTTCTGTAGCAAGAAAAAAATGAATCAGTTTTTTTTTATCATTGTTACTGGTAAGAACCGTTCTACGTCACATCGACCAAGTTGATAATCGACTGCTAATTGTACCTACATTAAAGAATAAAAACAAAGAATATGAACGTAATAACTGTACACTTTACATGTAATTGTGTTGAATCAAATAATGGAACATGAGAAATTTCATTTTGTCGAACGAGCTGAGGAATTTCTAGACCAAAAATAATACACTGTATTTCATTATTGTTTTTTTCTCTTGCGACTATCTTACCCGTACAGCCGAGTACTATTCCTTCAACTTGTTGTTCATCAAATAAGCGTTGCATAACAGATATATAAAACTGCTTGGATTCAGTAGTAAATATGTTACTATTTAATTCAGTTAGAATAATTTGATGAAGACGATCTATATCCTCGTTACGCGGGAATACAATATCTAGGTTATGTTCCAGCAAACGACTAACAACACAACTGTCTAATTTCATTGTAAATTTCGTGCCCAAGAAACCGACCTGTAAATAAATGAATACATTAAAATATCAATTAAAGTTGTCTAAACGAACTTTTTTTAATTTTTTTTCTTTTACAGCATATGCAACAGCGTCACTTATATGAATAAAAACAAGATTCGGATAGTATTCAGTTATTCGAGGTGCAGCGATATGACCTGAAATGACATTTAATAGTTGAACAAAGGATACTAATAGTGTTTCACCTGTATTAGAAGCAATAAGTAAAAAGTCGATACCACTTTTTACTAATTGATGAACAGCATCGAGAAGATTGTTAACAACTTCAGTTGATTGATTTTTGTTAAGTAACTCAACGTAAGAAAAAATATCGACTGAAACGATATGAATACAGCTACCATGGCCAGGTAATGATTTACCAACAAGTTCATTCATCTGATTGTAATACTACGTGAATATATAAGTATTTGACAAAGAAACAAATACATATACAAATCTACATAATTAATTGCTTACATCTATTGTCGAGACATAGGACAGACCACCGAGAATTCCACAGATACGTTGCTGCGCTTCATCATCCATTGTGTGTAGGAAAATGAATACAAATCAGCAAAAGGTAATGTTATCAGTTACCGTTGCTACTTGAGAGAAATAGAAAAAGCTTCGTTAAACATTGCCAGCAGTTGCCACGATTCAACAAGTTACTTATAGATAAGGAAAGTGTGGTAATAAAGCCATTTTATTGCTTATGATACTAAGAATTATTTCACAATTGAAAATGATCCAGAGTGGATATTCCTGAGAATGTGACTGTAGATATTAGAAGCTGCTACGACGCATTTCGACTATTACTTAGATACTCATGATGGAGTTGGTTCAAAACATGAAAGAAATATTCAAATAAATTCAAGATAACTTACTCTGTTCTTTTTATCAAAGTAAATTAGCAAGTTAAATGAATATCTAGCTAAGCAATAGTCGGAAAACGTTGTGATAACTTCTATACTCCTAAATCCATGTAAAGGTCTTATAACTGAACGAAATAGTAGTGAGTCTTTAGCTTCATAGACTGCATACCGATGTACTTATCTCATTCATAATGAAATTCTTTCTCTTCCTATCTATTTTTCTTATGTAAAATTGTGCCTCAACAATCATTTGATCTATCAAATGGTATGGCTTCTCAATGTGTTAAAAAACTATCAGAAAATATTATTGACTAACATATTCATTGCATGCAAACGACATCAGCAGATATTGAAAGGAAATTGAAAACTGACTGAGGACAGTGCTGACTTTGTCAAAACAGATTTTAAACAATGGAATGATACGTTTCATCAATTGCGAAGAACTTTGCTTGCATCTATGGTAATTGAGAGTGACAATTGATGTTTTTGAACTATAGAGTAGTCATTGTCGAATGACAAATAAATACTGAATTGCTGTAAATATGGGACCGATCAACCATACAGGAGTAAGTTGCGAAGTAGAATATTCCTTAGGGAAATATCAGCTTCATTTTAAAATTGTAAAATTAAATATAGAAAGATGGATGTTTTTGGGAAATATGTCGAAAAATGATACATTTCATATAAAAATATGCAGGACTTAAACAACATATTATTGGAATGAGTGCAATCAAATCTACCTTAATGGGGTTGGTCATTCAGACTATAATGGATACAAAAGTGATATGTGAATGATTGATATATTCGACTAATTAATTGATTAAGATCAACGAATCACTTATGAAACAAATGTCAGACCACTGAATCGACATAAAATCATTATCGGTTTATATTTTACTGTTGATTATTGTGTCCGTATCGTATCCAATTAGTATTCAAATTGTAATGTTTGGTTATATGTATACGAAAACTTTATTATTGAATACTGCGATCTGCCGTTTGCTCATCAATAGCTAATTCTATCTTAAATTTCTTTGCAAATTCACTTGAGATCTTCATAATACAAATGAGACTATTCCAACTATTGCCCTTTCTTTCGTTATTCTCGTCGAATCAATAAAACAGTTGAATTACCAAATATTGTAAACTAATCTCAAAGATGTATATAAGCCGTAAGGTGTTCAAAATGTTAACAACGGTATGGAAAAGATAATTTTCTTGATGGAATGCACTATTAATGAGGGAGCGTGTCCATAGAAACGATTTAACCAACATTAGTCTATATACTCTCCAAAAAATTAACGTGTCGTTTGATATCAGCATGATAGCATTACAATTACGTTTATTTCTTTTATCCAGCTAAAAAGGAGTTACAAATTTGCTTTGTAATTCTTCGAGTAATTTTCTATAGTCTATGATTTGTGGATTATTTTCATCGAGTTTTTCTTGAGCAATTCGAACAACTATTTCAGCGTGTTCCATTGCTGTAGAGTACTCTCCAAGAGAGCTATAAACTTTGGCCATATTGCTATGCGTCATAGCCACATCAGGATGATTTGAAGGAAGGGTTTGATGGAAGATTTCACGTGCTTTCTTATGGGATGAAAGTGCTTTAGGGAATTCTTCCATCTTGGCATACACCGAGCCGCCATTATCATAGCTAATGGCCACATATGGGTGATTTGGAGGGAGAGATTTCAGTAGAATTTCGAGTGATTTCTCATGGGATAAAAGTGCTTTCTGGAATTCTTCCATCTTCGAATAGCTCTCAGCAATGTTGTTATAGCTTTCAGCCAAATCCGGATGATTTGAAGGAAGAGAGCTTTGTCTAATTTCAAGCGCTTTTTCATAGGATAAAATTGCTTTCGAGTACTGTTCCATGTGATGATATACTTCACCGATATTGTTATAGCTTTCAGCCAAGTCGAGATGCTGTGGAGCGAGAGATTTAAGTCGGATTTCAAGTGCTTTTTCATGCCACGAAAGTGCTTCCGTGTACTGTCCCATGCTATTATACATCAAACCCATGCTGTTGTAACTGGTGCCCCAATCAGAATGATTTGAAGGAAGATATTCTTTCTTCGTTTTGATTGATTTCTCATAGTACTGTATTGCATCGTCAAATTCTGCTTTATTGACTTTTACCAATCCAGGTTGATTACGCAGAAAAGAAACTTCTTTGCAATTACTAATCGGCGTTTCTTCGAGTAACACCAGGTAAACTTCTTCGGCCTTGTCGAAATTCCCTGTTTTAAGCAGCAATTTTCCGAGTCGATGCCATCCCGTTGATCCAGCCACTTTTTCTCGCACACGTTTCATGAGAATACAAAGCTGTGGGTCGGTGTCCTCTGTCAGAGTGAGTTCCACCTGCCATACACATTTTTCTAGTTGCCTGAATTCACCAATTCGAAAAACGGAATGCATGGAAAAGAGAATCTCTTCTTCGGATCCCTGATAATAACTCACATTGTCAATTTGTGCAAATGGTGTTGATGGAACCGATGGATTAATTGTGATTTCGAAGAGAACACCAATATATTCTGGTCGCTTGAGGGCAGCAGTAACGAATTCTAATGAAACTTCTCGATTTTTGCTCGTGGATAAAAAATTATTGAATGACATTAGACCTCCTTGTGTTGCAGTCATTTTGTTGAAATCACTCTTGGCCATACCCTGTCCTTGATAGACAATAAATGAGTTCTGTTTCTCTGCAGTTTGTTTCAAGTAAAGTTTTTCAATGTGTTGGTGGATATCGCGAATAAAAAATCCCATTTTGACTATGGTGTTCACTTCCAGGGTGCGTAGAGCACGATTGAGCATTTGATAAGTGAAACCCTCAAGAGTATACCACCAAATCGGAGTATGCTGATGATATTCTCGCTCGAATAGCTGAATAATTTGTAATTGTGAATTGTTACCTTTGTACTTTTCACGACAGTCGTCGGTCAATTCTTTGACGGCTTGCTCGCCATAATCGAGTTCCAATAGAATTTCTTTGAGTAATGTTGAATACATGAATGATGGTTCAAGTTGGTCCAATTCTTGATGTGAGGATGCATCATTCATCGACACAAAACTCATTGGAATCGACTCACGATCGCATTGATGTGTGGTGGTCGAGAGAATCACAAATATGTCGCATATCGTTGAAAATACCATTCACTTTCGACCATTCTTTGGTCCATTGCTTGTGTTTTAATATATTCACACAGAAAATATAGATAGATTGAATACACGACATGCCATGAATTTTTGGCACAATATTTTGACCGAGGGATCCTGATACAATTATGAATGCTTTTACGTCTTTGATTCCGGTAAGAAAGTCAACACATTCACCTGAATCAGTAAATATATCGCCAGTGTTTACAATGTGTCGTAGTTCAGCGATGGAACTACGATAATCGCTGCTTGTAACATCAATGTTTGAGTCGAACCATATGAGGATAAAATTTTGAACGATCAAGTCCCTTGTAGACCCAGATGAAAGCTGTTGTGAGATGCGGCGTTCTGGTACTAAAAGAAAAACTGAACCCAGCTTACTGTTTTAGTAGTAGCAATAGTCTGATTTAGGTATTATCACTTGTTGAAGGGCATGAGCGAATAGAACAGTGTTTTAAATTCTAATTTCTGCCACCATTTAGTGTTCAGAGTTGATCATTAGAAAAAACTTGATAAACCGCCTGGTGTGACATTGAAACTAGGAGTGCCAATTTACAGTTTATTTTATTTAAATCTAACTTCGTGAAAAGTTAATTTAATTTTTGGACTGCAAAATCATTTAAATTTAATAAATTGTTTCGATGAATATTACATGACTTTAACAGTAGTAAATACTAAATGAGAGGGGAACCTAGTATGTTAGGTTAATATTTGTTCATAATAGTCAAAATTTCTCTACAGATTATGCAGGATTCACCATCTTTCTTCTTCAAAATACCAGGATACTCATAAAAATATATTTAATAGCACAATTCGTAGAAGAATGACTAGCTTTAAATTTAGAAAACAAGAAACATACTCAAATTTGACTTGAAATAAGAGCAATCAAGTCAAAAACTATGTTTATCTACTAGGTTTTAAAATTTAATTAATTTGACTTTCAAACAATTAAGTTAAAATGATGCAAAATTTAAAGTTAAAATGTGGCATTCCTAATTGAAACAAAGAATAAATATCACCATTCAACTAAGTATGATCAATTATCGAAATCATGACGGCTTTTTGGTTTATCCTAAGTCGAATGACAAAACTAGGGTCCTTTAGAAAATACTAACTACTGGTGAGCAAAGCTAGGTTGGCATGTCAATCTTACACTGTTTCAAGTACGATATTTTTTTTCTCTTGAATCAACCTACCAGCATTGAACTTAGTTTGCTTCGTCTAATCGAAAACTTCTTCGCTAGATCTGTTTGTTGCTAGGTCAATTTTGAAAGGCATAGTAGTACCCTGATTAAATAAAAGCGGGGTTTTATTCATAATCATTCCAAAATTGAAAAGGGATAATTACTGGGAAAAAACAGCCTTTTAGAGCTCGTTATTCCTTTTACCTTTAGTATTGTTGGCTGAAGTTGTCGAAAATTTCCTTTCGTTTCATCTTTACGAAAGCTGATGGTTGGTTTTATCTTGCCTCCAGCTGAAAGATAATTTGAAGTCGAGTTTTTCTTGTTCATGTTGTAGTTATGCAGGTCGTAATAAAATGCAAGTGTTACAATTAAAACGAAGGAGAAAAATAATATTCTTGTGACAATAATGATTGCAACATGCTGTTTTTTTCATCATGTATGAGAATACCCAGTCATGTGTATCGTTTACTCGCTAGTATAATGAAATGAGCACGATTCAGAAATTACTTGCAAGAAAGAAAAAGCGCTCGTCACATATGCTGTTGTCGTCAGGTGTTTGCATTTTTCTACTTTCGTTTCTGTTGTGACACTTCTGTGCTTGTTTATATAGATACCGCGATGTGAACATGTCATCTATTGAACCATTTGTAAGGGTTAGTCAGTATTTGAGTTTATGACAATCGTTAAAAGTTGAAATTCATAAGTTTCTCTAATCTATGTGCACTGATCTTAGAAAAGCTCAGATATGGAGGGATAAACTATTTTCATTCGAAAGGAATGAAATTGATGTGTCAATGTTTACTTCATGTAACGATGGCGAATGTATTCAGTATTTAGGATCAATTGTGGTGACGACAGTCATGTTTCTTTTGAAGAATTATTTGATATCATTCTTGTTGCCATTGTTGCATTCTTTTAATGTAAATCGTAATTGTTTTGTTAATACTGTCGGTTCCTGTAATAGTATATGATACAATAAATGCCAAAATTAATGTTTTGTACCAAATTGTAATTCAAAGATAATATACGAACATAATAATCCATAAAGTTTGATAGACTGAACTGACAACTTGCAGTTCAGACTGTGATTCCAAGAAGTTGACGTGCATAATATTATCTACAGCACTTTGATCTCTTTTCTCGATGGACGTGGATATGAATGAGACAGATTTTTGAGTAATGATTATTGCTAACCAATAACTTTCAAGAAAAGCAATTGTTTATGTTTTTTTCTTATTCCACATGTCATATCAAGTTTCCATTTACTAATCATAAAGGATTAGCGAAGCTAAATTTAAAAGTATCACCTGCGCAAATCAGGTCTTTAAAAAGTGCAAATTGAAAGGGTATTTTTACTATCATATTTATTCATTTGACAAATTTCAAAATGAGATCGATTATATTTTTTGTAGTCTATGTGTTGCATTGCTTATCAAATTTAATTCTTGGAGCAAGTGGTGCCATCCCGACAGGTAAAATAAATATGAGAAAATATTTGTTTTTAGCTTTTGTGAGGCAATTAAAAACTGGTTAGAGCATTTTTCTTTTTAAATGTCTTGGTCCAAAATAACAGATGTGCGGTCCGCCACTTGTTGTCCTTCTGTGGACGGGTGCGTGGGGACAACGGGAATAAACTGTAAGTAGATGGAATATCAATATCTCTAGTTATGCGGTGCATACTGATCGATCATGCTGTTTCTAAAATTTCTTTTTCGCATGAATGTCCGGATTACAAAAATGAAAAAAGGCTGATTCATCTTGACTTCATACACCGAATATCAATATGATTCTGAACATGAATTGAAAAGGTATTCGTTACTATAGTTAAAAACACGAAATTGGACTATTTCAAATAATCCCTATGTTGCAATCGGTCGGTTCTTCCAGCAATAAAAGAGGAAAATAAATATTATGAGATCATTCAACACTGAGACTGCAGGCAATATTTCTATTGTCATCTAATACCTACATTCAGACACCCACACACTTAGGCGAACCCTACTTGAAAATGAGCAAACTGATATGCCGTGGTGCTAGAAATATAAAGAGCAGCATCAATCATCATCTATTTGCTTATTTAAGGATTCAATCATCCTGGTGGAATGCATCCCCAGCATCAGATTGAATTTGTCAAGCTGCAAGTGTTTAACCAACGGCAACCATATTACAATGCCTATCGGCAACTGATTGTTTCTGCTGATGCAGCATTTAATCACACCACTCATGCTCTAGCTGATTTTGCTGTTCCTGGCTACTACATCGATCCAGAATTACACAAAAAGAATTCAGTTGGTCTTCAATCGGATGCATTTGATGCTTATGCTTGTGCATTGGCCTATCACATAAGTGATGGTCAGTCGAAATATGCCAATCAATCAATAAGATTTTTGACAGCATGGGCTGATTTAAATACGAAATATTCGGATTTCGATGGTAGTCTTGTCATGGCCTATTCTGGAACGGCAATGGTCATGGCTGGTGAACTTCTTCTTAACTACGATGGCTGGAGTCCTGCTAGTAAGATGAAATATTTGAAATGGGTACAGACTGTTTATTTAAAAGCTTCCAATGAAATCAGATTACGAAAAAATAATTGGGCCGATTGGGGTCGATTGGGCTCAATTTTATCTGCTCATTTGTTGGAAAACTCCACAGAAATAGCTGAAAATATCCGTTTGGTTAAAAGTGATCTGTTCCATAAGATTGCTGCCGATGGTCATATGCCAGAAGAGACCACGAGAGGGACAAATGGAATTTGGTACACGTATTTTTCTCTTGCACCAATTACAGCTACATGTTGGGTAGCTTATCAATCGACCGGTGAAAATCTATTTACCAATTATAGACAAGGTAATTCTTCGATCAAGCAAGCCCTGGATTATTTGTACTACTATAATCTTCACCCCAATGAATGGTCATGGTTTGTAAATCCTAATAAGGGATCACCGACTTCATGGCCTGGTAATTTGTTGGAAGTCATGTCAACTCTTTATGGAGATAATCGTTACTCTGATTACGTGAAATCCTCAAGACCATTAATCTATAGAACACATCATTTTGCTTGGACTTTTCCCACATTGATGACTGTTCAATTGGGAAGCTATCAGTAGTTTTCTGCTTAGAAACATAAAATCGCTTGAAAATTGTGCCTAACTAAACAGTAAAACTCTCACAATAAAATAACATGCAAACACTTCAGCACCTTTTTCTACAGTATCAGATTGTGGGCGTGGCTGTCGATCCGAGGTTTATCCTAATCCATTCACACTGGTGGTCCCGTTCGAGGTACTGTAAAGAACATCCAAATTTGAGTATGAATAAAACTATTTCAGTGCTCGCTAGATCAACAGAAGACGCAGCTGGAAAATATAAATTGAGGAAGTAAATCTGGTAATTTGAGTGCAAATCGATCGAAAACATTCATCGAGTAGCCAACGAAGCTCGTCGTGAACATTGAATATTTCTCCTAAGAACTGCAATGGTTACGCGACTCGCTGAAGAATGTGAGGATGAGTTTACATGTATTTTATTCGATTCGAAGGCTTACTTGAGCAGCTATTGTACATAAGCTAAGATCTATAATACCCAAACAATCTTTCACATATATATTTGGTTTTGATCAACTTAATCAAACTCACATTAACATATAAGTTTGTTCTCTTCAATTTCTGCTCTATAACATAAATCCTTTTGGAGATATTCAATTTTCAGTGCCATAATTGGTGTCCTAGGGTGTGAGTGTGGTTATAAATATTCTCCAATCGACACCATAACACACCCACACCCACAATAATTCTCTTCTATCACAGACGCTTTGTTAAGTGCGCTCAAGTACTGAAAAAAGCAGCATTTGTTTCTACAAAGCAAACATCAAGGTAAAGTGAAGTTTTCTATTGCACATTGTTTGCTTTCAATTTTTAAAAAGCTAACGAAAAGCCATAGTGAAAATTTTTCAATACTTATAACTACGTATGAATTGCGTTTGATTAAAAGTGATTTTTCGTCGCAACTACTGAAGAAAAACAACAACAGCTATCAACTACTTTCAATCATCCGTATCCTGCTTTCGTTTGATTTCAAACTTCAATATTGCTGAAAGTGACTATGTGTTTTAGAAAGTGTATATACGAAAGTGAACATGTTAGATCCACATAGGGTTTAATACACTATACGTTCATTCAAAACAAAAGAGTGAAGAATTTAATTTACCAGTAGGAGTTCCAGATACATGAATACTGAGTTAGTGATATTAGTTATTGCAGTTTAAAGCTTTCCACATCCACAAGCTAGAAACATGAGTTTCGAGCGAGTTCAATGGCTTTAGAATAGCGTGGTACAATGACTATGGCAGTACACTAGCGCGTGCGCGAAATAAATATATCATTTAACTTGATACAAATGTGTTTAGTGTTCATCAAATAAACGCCACAGAAATATTGAGATCTATCTACCGTAATCAAAAATATCCACCTACCAATTCATAAACGCTGGCAGTTATTGGAGCAGTCTTCTCGTCAACATTATTTTTTCTTCAATAATGGTGACGAAAAACCACTTTTAATCAAACGCAATTCATACGTAGTTATAAGTATTGAAAACTGTTGACTATGGCTTTTCATAAGCTGTTTAAAAATTGAAAGCAAATAATGTGCAATAGAAAGTTTGACTTTACCTTAATGTTTGCTTTGTAGAAAAAAATGCTACTTTTTTCAGCATTTGAGCGCACGTAACAAAGTGTCTGTGATAGAAGCGCACTGCTGTAAATAGTTACTTGTCGGAAATGATCTGGTAGATTTTGGTGCGCTTCGCTCTTCAGATATTTATATTCAGACAGGTATATTAATTAAGCAGTGTTAAATAAGTTCTGCCGTACTTTTATATTTACTTCATTGTTTGGGTGTAAATCTCAGTCAAGGCAAGACTGAATGTCTACAACAAACCCACACGTATATATACGCTCAAAGCCAAACACTATAATACAACTTAACACCAGCTAACGAATTGATGATATCCAACTGAGTGTACGTAGTCAAATGACTATATTTAATTGAGTCTACAAAAGTGGTCATCTATTTCTAACCTAGTGAAGGCAGTTGCTTCGTTATTTTCCGTTAAAATCTTCCTTGAAATCATTTGTGTTTATCCATTTTTCAGAATCTTTGCCAATTACTGCATCATCTCGTTATTGACGCCAACAGAAGAAAGAGCATTGCTCATCATTGACTCTAGTATGGCGGGTAAGTTGCACATTAATCCAACCGACAGTTTTATTCTCGATTTGATATGTAAATTGACTCAATGCGCACATCAGTGTAAATGTAAATGCGGTCGACTATGGGTTGCCAGTCTTAGTGTAGTCGTCAGGGACTGCAACGGTAACTAGACACTGGACAAGTACAAGTAGAGCAAGTAAAAGTACAAGTAATTTTTCCTTAACACATGTACTTTGGACTTATATTTGAGTACAATTTACTTCAGTACGTCAGTCAAGTATAAATTGATAGACACTAACTATAATCGTTTGAGTTCTAGCATATTTTATTTTGGCCATTTGACGACGTTCGTAATCGAAATTAACTGGTTAATGATAATTGACATTATGGAATGACTTAGTTTCTGATAATAACTTGACACGATGCGAGTTTAAGTATGATAATAAAAATCACTAATAGTAAATCACCACTGGGATAGTAAAAATGAGGCTATTCAGAGGCTCACTGGCTTACACATATCGGCTAAATGTTTTCACGTGCTTATCTCAGTACATCATCAGAAAAATCGTCTATTTAACAATTAGCTAGTTGCTATTTTTTCTAACTAATTTTCAATGTTTTCGGTTCTAATAGGGAAAACCTGTGGATGGTTACAAAATTTATTTATTTTTCTTTATTGTAGGCTTTTTCAAGGCCAAAGGGAAAAATTATTACATTGATGCGGATGAAATAAAGCGATGTGAATACAGAACAACTAATATGGCAGCGATAAAATAGTTACAGGGTGGTGTACCGAAAGGTGAAAGTCGTCAGTCTCACACTTGTTATGTTCAGCTGGCTGGACTGATCCCTCGCTTACAGCGGACTAAGGAAAAACAATCCGAGACGTTCGATAGTGATGATGACTTTGAAGACGACGCATCTCAATCACCATTCGATAGACGGACAAATTTCATTCATGAAATCTCCAATAGCGATGGTGATGAACAAGTTCCTGATTCGCCAATCAAAGATAAAAAGACGTTTATCTATAAAAACACAAAAAAAGAATCCTCGCCTTCACCAAATCCATCCTCTAAATCGCTACAATCTTTGTCGGAAAAGTCTTCGTTTAGTCTAGCTCATGCAGTCCTTCTTCAAGATATCGAAGAGCTTTTGGACCAGCGTGCCAATTACCTTCTTTTTGAGGATAACTTTACGCCAACATTAGCGAAAATTGTTAAGCGTGATCATGGAGCGTACTCATTTGCTAGACTTCGTTCTGTTTGTGCGAGATTTGAGAATGCTCAAGCTATGAAGCAGCATGATGCGAAGAGTCGTAGCACAAGCGCATACTTCACTAAGATGGTTGATAGAAAAATTTCAGACGATGATGCTCGAGCTTTTGCCTTTGCCATCGCATTTTACTCAGGGTCACAGAGTGAAACTATCAACCAAGGTGTAGCATTGATCATACGAACTACTTGTGCCGAAGATATCATAAATGGCACACACGAAGAGATCGGGGAAGACGCAGCCATTATTATGTTCTATCTTGCACGAGCCCTATCTCATATCACTTTTTATTGGGGCACAGTCACTCGACGTGTTCAACTGACTCCAGAGGAGGTAAAAGATTATAAACCGGGAGCGTTAATCACTTGGATCCAGTTCAGTAGTTCGATGAAAGGTGAACAGGCACCAAAGGGTTTTCAAAATCGCAATACGCAATTCACTATCCAGTCTCTAACAGGAAGGAGCATTCAATACTTTTCCAACTTTCCTGAGGAGGATGAAGTTCTCTTCTTGCCACACTCATCGCTTTTGGTCAAGTCGGTGGATTACATTAATTCTGTGCATTACATTTCCATGGAACAGGTAAAAGTACTTAAAGATAACAGTATATGTCAGTCGAGACGAGAACTCCTGCACTCTGAGTACTGATCAGCCACTCTCATTGAAAAAATGGTGGGCTGGGGCAAAATTTTGTTGCAGCTTTGGATATTTTTATGCAATTAGTTCGGGTGAAACGCTTTAAAATAAGAACAATATGGCCTTTGAGACCAAGCTTAAACGTCTATATGTGGTCTGGCTAACCGCTACCAAGTTTTAGTTTTGTATAAGGTATTTATTCTAAGTAATATAAGCACAAATGACGCTCATAAAGAATCGATTCACTTGACCCAAGACTGATGGACTGCATACTAACATAGAATTGTATATAAAAGCAATGATAGTTGCTTAAAATAATAACTAAATAGAAAAATAAAAATGATAAAAGAAGCTTGATCTAGCTGTCCTACAGCCAAGCTTTCAAATTCCCATGAAAACCTATTTTGATCTCTTCTAGCATGAGATTTACACTTTCACCAATGAATAGAAAGACTTTTCACTGCAGGAAACCTGTTTTCCATCTGTACACTTTTGTTCTTTATGCCATAATTCAATATATATGGTATTTTTTAATACCACTGGTTAATATTGTGGATGTTTGAGGGAGGGTTCGGGAGTGGTGGTGGTAGCCATTCGTGTACACTAGACACTCGCACACTAACACTCAAGTTTAATTTTTCAGGAATCACGACTTTTTTTTGGGAAAATATCATTATTGTCTAGAATGAAAATGGAGTTTTAGACCTTTCCGACCGACTATTTGAAAAATACCGTGTTCCTATAGGGAAAATGTCGCCAAACGGCAACAGCCGACCACAAAAGGATTAGAACATTATCGAAAAATCCTCTTCACTGTATCGCTATTTTGCCCAGTTTTTAGGTATGAAACCTACAGTTTTCAAATGGATTCATATCAACTCGGAACCCTTTTTTGATTGGAAAGTGCGCTATGATACAGACTATAGCGGGGTGCCTTTTTCTCACTTTAACATTTTTATTAGTATACCAAGGGAAACCTTTATAAATCAAGTGCCATTGTTAAACTTATTTTAGGACTTTAAACTTTTTGTCTCTACTTTCTCATTATAAAGTAAGAACTTCCAAAATAATCTCTCAAAGTCTACACCTGGATGTGTTCATTTACTTGAAAACAATGAAATCTATACACAAAATAAGCCTAGAAAGAATGTCGGGCTTTCATTTGAGCAAATTTTCACTTATATTCATTGGTTTTCTCGCTGAAAATACCACGCTATATGACTGAAAACTTTATTATAGCCCTTCGTATACGGCCTCGAAGTACCTTTAAAAAATTTCAGGTTATTCCAATGGTTCAAGATCAAAATAGCTCTTTCAGGAGGGATCGGATGGTCAAATGAATGTAATAGCCCACAAAAACAAATGTTGCCATCGTAGATTTCTTTCTTTTTTCAGAAATTGAGACTTTCTAGTATCTACAATACATGCATTACTTTTGCTCATCATGAGTTCTCGAACAGATCAGTGTTCGAAAGGGCGGAAAAATCACCGCTGATTAATTTCACAGCCAAGCTTCAATCATTTCCTTAGTTAATATATCATATTTTAGTTATACAGTTTTACAAATCTTTCAGAGAGTACGATAACGAAAACAAGATCCGATATATGCCTTCTGCTATGTTGTCTTCATTCAGATTGGATATTCTCGAATAAATAATTCAAAGAGACGAGACCAGATTCGATGAGTTCTGCGCACTTGAGGATATTACAATGAAAACAATGATTGAAAAGGATCAAAGGAATGTCGAACCGAGGAATTCACTGAACTAAAGGAACTCAGACGAACCAAGTAGCTCCAAAAATATCATTCATTTGTGGAGTCACCTCACACTTCTACTCAGCGAGAAAGGGATCATTTCCTCGGTGACATTTATACTTCCAGTTCTTTGCTAAAATCAACACCCAAATCCATCAATACATCGATATACACATTAGTCTGAGGTTGCGAGTGTGAGTGTGGGTAGGGTTGGGAGTGGGTGTTATCAAAACTTTAGAAATAGAAACCCACCCACACCCACACCCTCAAGTATTTCTATGTATTTCTGAAATGCAGAAATAAGCTTATCTCCCTTGCGCTCAATTTTATTTGTTTAGGTCGAACTCGGCCTGTGCAAATACTCAGTCTTATGGGTCGATGACAACATCTTCGATGAAAATTGGGAAAACAAGAGGCATATGGAAAAAGCAAGCACTGCCGGCATTGAAGTCAATGTGCATTTCATTCCTAAATCCACCACTAAATCTGCTTTGGCTTTTCTCAAGTCACCATTCGGTGAACGGCTCAAGCACAACGAAACATTTCGGATTATTACTGGCATGAATCGCCACAATGAAGAACCGTCCGACAATGCAGGCGCTCGGTTGCTTGCAAGAGCTCGAGAAATGGGTTTCAATTCAAGATGCCTTGTTTTCACAGGAAATGCTGCTGATGCCGATCGAAAAGTGAAGCAGCTGATCATAGACGTTAAGCAAAGAGAGAATATTGAAATAACTCAATCAGTTAATATTCTAGAGCAATTCGTCAATTTCAATATGTCGGATTCCTTGAAAGTTTCGCAGGCTTCAAAATCGTTCTGCACACCTAGTTGAGAAAGTGACCATGTTGTGTACTTTAAAGAGTCGAGTATTAACTTGAAAAGAGAACTAAAATGGATCAATTTTTGTTTCAATGATAATTGTCCGTTCTGAAAGAAAAAAAGAAGTTTTGCAGAACGTTTTAAGGCTCGTTCTGTTACCAAGGTTCTGAACCCCCTGAAAATGGTTCTGTTCAAGAAAACAAAGTCCTGTGGAGGCTTTAGAATCCTGCTTTTCGTGACAAACTATTTTTAGGGGCTCTGGACTTGGTTAAAAGACAGAACCTTAAAAGGTTGCGCAGAACTTCATTTTGTTTTAGAGAATAAAAGTATTTTTGGAATAAAAATAATATAAAACTTTTTATGATTACGATTCCATACGAGAATGATGTAATGCAACTTTTACTGGCGTTTGCATTGCTTGATTCCACATTTACAACGACGTTATTAATGGGGTAGTGAGAGTGGACACATGTGACTCTATTACAAAGTAAATTAGCCTACTCTACAAGAGAAAGTGTCATAATGAAATTTTCAAGATTCTAGTTGTCGGTACCATTTTTTGAACTATTAACATTTCTGCATAGCTGACCATGTTTGTATCTCATATTTTCCTTGGTGAAGCATGACGTAAAAGAAGTGCTGCAGTATGTGGGTTCGAAACGTGCATCCACCGCTCATCCCCGTTCCATTCTACAGGCCGTGACAGATATTTTACTTAATCAAATTATTACTATGCAATTAATTAATCAATATCTAACTAATTCAGTTTTTGCCACAGGTCGTGACAGCTGGTTTCAAAGGACTAGTAGAATTCATGATAAGTAACATCTGATTGGAATATATATGAACTATTTTATTGTTGAAGCTCTAGACTGCAAAGTAAGCTATGCCATAGAAATATGCCCAATATGCATAAAAATACCAGTCTTTAGGAGATTAGAGACAATCATTAGATGGTGTTTCACATTTTTAATATCACAGGGATTTTTAATTGATTAATATCTTAAGAATCTTCGATCTATTTCTAGGATGAATCGCAATTAACAGTAGATTGCTTAATCATAGGCCAACACGTGTTGAATGACTATTATTGAAATACTCGAAATTGATCTGTTAAAATTCATATAAATAATTCAGCAGGCTTTGACTTCAAGATTCCTATTTCTGACAAGGCACGACACAAATTTCAGAGTCTGTTTTAGATAATTTGATATCAAACAAATCGAAATATTTTCTGTATGACGATGATGCCATGTGTATGACAGCAACATTCTTTTAATATTTGTTTGATGTCCCACTACAGATAGACCAAATAAATGCCTGCCAATTTTTCAAAAAAATGTATTAGAAAAAAATGATTTCAAATGTTATTTGCAAGATCTTAAACATAATACGAAATTTTTCATAAGTCAAAATATTTTGAAAAAAACTAAGTGAATGATAGAAAATTTTTTTAGATATTATCTTAATAACCAAAATTTATTTTAGGAGCTATTGTACGATCCTCGTACTTTGCTGTTAGCAACATGGCGAACAAATTCTATCATTCAATTCTATCTACTAGTTAGTTACGAACACAGACATTCGAAGACTACACAATATCTAATTGAGCATAAAATTCGTAGCTTCTCGAAACTCGCGTGATTAATACCAGTACTTACAGTTAATATAGAAAACAAAAGTTTAGCTTCACTTCAAAAGTAAAATTTTGTTGAAAAATAGTTTAGTTCGAGTTCTAGGTTTACTAAACCATGAACATGCAAATAATTTATTGAACAAAACCATGATAACATACACGTTTTTTGAAGAAGAAGAAAAATGGACGCCATTTTGAATCAATTTCTCTGGTCAAGTCCTTATTTATAGGTTACTAGTCTTAACTTGGAGACAAAAGTTTAATCTTATATCCAGATAGAACACAGAAGTTGCTTCCTTTCTAAATAGCTAAAATTTTATCGTGCTACGTTCTAGTGTTCAATCTTGATTTGTTTCTTTTTCGTAAACAAATGTACAAAACAATGTTTATCTATTTAACATTTCTATTGGTTCCCAAGACATAAGCATTCTAGAATATAATTGCTTCGTTGCATCTGAACAATAAATACTAACAAAGACAAGAGTGACGACATGTAACCGAGCTCGAAGCTTTGGCTATTGATAAAAAGATCAACTAATAAATAACGAAAGAAAAAGCCTTCATTTCTTCTGAAAAGTGATAGAAACGTTTCAAGACACAGCGTAGGTCAACTCCACTTGATACAACATAGCTTTTACATAATATATTTCGGTAAGGATTTATCATCATTCCAACACGTCGCACGCACTACTCGCCAACCTAAGAGTCTACAGTATTTTGTTATTGTGAATAAAAAAACAAAGGAGAAGTAGGCGGAAGCAATCGAAGTATTTTTTAAAAATTTATTTCTACTATAATAAGAGAATACAATTCTATTCAGTTTTCACATAGAATAAAGAAAGTGATCGTCCAGTTGTCAATCGATTTTGTTAAACGACTAAATACAAGAACATGCAAAACAACCAAATAGCAACAACGACTGATGGACAAAATGACAATCTTGATATAAAAAAACGAAGAAAGATTCTCATCATTCTTTTATTGATTTTATTGGTAATGATTTTTTGTTTCAATTTTTTCTCAGTAATCGTATTCATTTACATACAGAGGGAAAAGATCTACTATTCTTTCTTATTGCCAACATCAGCATAGTATTGAAGGAGAACACCTATAATGAAAAAGTCACTGATTTCTGGAACACTGTCAATGAAAATAAGTTACTTCCAGATTGAAAATCGGGATTTAGATTGATTTATCACATTTTATATATTTAGTTTATCTACTTCTACTTTTTCAATGTCTTGCCATTTACTTTGTAATTACGTTAGAACGCATTGCCATACTAATCGTGAGTATATTTGTTACTCGTTTAAAAATCTTATTCTATCCATTTTTCTTTCATCAATGTGCATGGATGGAAATCGGTTTTATCTTTCTGGTGGTTATTAATCTTTTGTTTATGATTGGCTGTTTTATCCATGCGTTAGAATATAAACAATATAAGAATAATGTTAGACCATTAAATTTTAACTCTCTGGATTTCTTTCGTGGTTTAATAAGTATATGTTTATCAGTGAGTACGATTTGCTGAATGTTTCCTTTGATTGAAATTTTACAAATATTCTCGTTTCAGATTGCCAAAAGTGTCTTCATGTTTTTATTCGTCTATCTATTGAAAAGAAAAGGTGAACAATTTGAACCAGCCTCGAATTTAATAGAATTGGTAGATGCTCATCTCTCCATATTACTTTAAGATACTTAATCATCTTCATATAATCTGTATTTTAACTAATGCAAGCAATAAAAACAATTCTTTTCCGCAAAGATTTACATGCTTATTATCATTTCACGGACGACCTTTCTCTTTATGTCACTCCGGTCTTATGATTCTATATTGAAAATGTACACATGGGGAACATGATCTTGTTAATCACAGAAAGATTGTTCTATTCTAGCGACACCTAACCGAAATTATTGCTAGCGAAATAAATCCCATACTTGCTTTCGAAGCTGTTTCACAAAAAATTTCAAGTTTTGTTCATGTGAACAAAATCAAATTATTTTAGAGACGCAGGAAATTTTCATAAAGTAGTCTTAGACAAATTTTTGTTCATCTTTCAATGATCCATCGTTTGGTTGTAGAATTCGGCTGGATAATTTATAATTAACATTTTCCATCAATCTATAGCAAATAAAATTTATCTCACATCATCGAGTTTCTTCTTATTTGCTAATTTTTTTGTTGTTGATAAGAGTAAGCTCTCTGAACTTTTAATTCGGCGTCTAATTTTATCTTTATTGGATCAACAGTTGGGATTCTTTTATAGTGTATCAATAGACTTGCTTTACTGTTATAATTTGACTGGTCAGGATAAACTTTCTCCAAAATTTTCGGTTTAAATTATTATCAATATTTATGACAAAATAAATAATCACATCAAACAAATTCTTATTAAAAGTCAGATCGATTTTATTGCATTTGACATCTTTCAAAATTAACTTCTGAGAATATAATATATGCTTATTGCTGTTCGTGTTTATACGTTATCAGGAAATTGTCTGAAAATATCCTAAAGTTTATATAATAGATCTTAAAGATATTTTCTTTGCAGCAGCACTATCCCGAGCGAGTACCAATTCTAATTACTTTCAACGTAAAAAGCAAAATTGAAATTTTTTATTCAAACCAACTGTAAAAAACCAAGCTGCTTATATTGTGTTCTCCAGAGAGAATATGAATAATAAATGTGTTATAGAGCCTTTTCTCTTTGGAAAATGAACTTTTTTAGGATTACTTTCTAACTAGTAGCTCTTCAGACAGATTTATATTGAAGAAATAAAAAATGTAGTTCTGTACTTCACGAATTCCCTGTGTACATTAATATTATATTCTTGAGTTTCATAATTATAGTTTACTTGCTTCGAATCGCACATTAGTAGAAATTCAACACGATCAGGATATCAAAAAATGCAGAAACACTGTTAACAAGTTGTATGCTGATCAATTCTCTCTACTTGTACGCACAGAGATAAATAAAAGCAAAGAAATCGACTTCATGGCTTGCGCACTATTCGAAATCTGCTTCAATTTGAAAAGAAAACTCTTGCCACTTATAGTACTTGTGGATAAATGCGTTTTTGAAATATCTATTTTCAAAAAGAAAGAACCTAAATCAAATCAAATAAGATTCCATATAATGACATACGTCAATATGAGTGAGGCTTTGATGGTAACTTAATTTCTTATGTAGACTCACATTGGCATACGCCTCCTTAGGTTAGTTTGTGATGAAACAAATATTTCAAAGATATTAAAATGTGTTCCTGAATAATGGAATACTTTCATTAGCGACAAAAGGAAATAAGTAGTTTTATTGTTATAATACAATGGATGAAAGCAAAGCAATTAGCGTTTTTACAAGCAATCAACTTTGACAAAGTACGAACAAAGACATTTATAAATAGTTCCGTTTTTATTCATTTTTACGCTACAATATGTTTCAAGAACGAAACGCTTGATTAAGCACAGTATTTTCTCTAAGAGTTGTTATAGATCCAACTACAACTACATGGTGAGTTAATCGCATGTAAAGATGAAGCAATATACGTTTGCACTCCTTTCGGTACACTCGTGAGACCGTGATATAGATATAGAAGCCTGCAGCTGGATAGATGTAGACAAGGAATGTGTTACTAAAATAACCCAAAAATGCTCTTATTTGTAAACTTTCGGTGGTCTGAGGTAAACCCTCCGTTAAAAATTGATAGAGAGTGATTGCTGGAAAAAGACAGGTAGAACTGACATAAACCATCACTTCACTGAATAGCATGAGAATGAGTGTGCATTCCCGTTTTTTTATGTTTGCTCGATTTGTATTGAGTCGATTTTGAAGTTTTCGACGATTAGAGATAGCTAATCCACCAAAAACAATCATCAAACCAGGTGTTAGGAGGCCGGGTACTATCACTGAGTAGATAGCCCAACTCAACGAAAATGATGGATCCATTCTGCAGCTACCCTGACGATAAACGTAGGAAATAGGAAGAAAAACAGTCGCAATAGGCCATAGTAATATAATTCCTACGATAACTCGAATAGCCACTTTTGGATCACTAAACGAGCGAATTCGATTCGAATTCGAGCAAAGTGCGTATCGATCCATGCATGCAATAACTGTCAATGATCGACTCATCATAAGAGGAGCATGAATAATGTAATGATGAACTTTGCAATAGATAAATACGTATGTACTGGGATCGGTCCGATCGAGATTGTATAATGCAGGAATTATTCCCCAGCCAAGATTGAATAAATTCAAGATGCATGCTGCAAGAATATAGAGCGAACAAGAATTCCGCAGAGGTTCTTTACGAGTGAAAATAAATATATTGATAATATTGCCAACAAAGCCAAAAGCCAATAATGAACTCATACCATATCTGGTCATGGATCGCTGCACAAAGGCTAAAGAACTCATGCCAAATAAAAACAAAACGTTTCAGCACAGATGTAGAAGACGATGCAATCACAGTGGAAAATATTTTTACGTGTTGGAAGAATTAAAAAAAAGAAAAAATTATTATCAAGTCAACTTATGAAAAACGCTTTTTTTTAACAACTACAGTGCATTCTATAATGTAGGGAACAGCATATAAGCCATCCGAGTATGATAAGTTTTTTGACCTTAATCGACGAAGAATAAAAGCTTTAGAAGCGATCTCGATGACATAAACATAGGAACAGAAGCCAGAGCTAGTTATCAATAATATTTCTCTGTGTGCACCATCTTCTAGAGGCAGATCTACTAAATCTGTAAATCAACGTTCTATTTTTTTTATCGTTGAATTCTGTAAAAAGATTATCCCGTGATTCGAAAACTAAAACAGCAATTAAAAATTTGGTAGTCAACGTTAATTTCGAGTTTGGCACTAAAAGAAAAATTGTTTTCGGCGTGAATATCATTAGACTGGGTCGATAATTGCAATTCGCTCTATTTAGAATTAGACTAGTGTAATGATCAAATATAGCTTTTTATTCTTGACAACGATTTCTTGTATTTTTTCATCTTTCTGGTCTTGATTTCTAATTAGAACTTTTTATTCTGTGCTTTTCGAGCAAAGAAGCGCTGGCAGCTTAGCGATAAATAAGTCGAAAGAATGATACCAGCTTTCTATAGAAAAAAAAGTTAAGTTATAATCATGTCGAAATCGAATACAAAATGATTAAAAAGATTCATTAAACATTAATTACAAGCATGAAATTTTAATCTAGTTTTTAGCTCATTACGATCGAATATCTATTAGAGTAGTCTTAGCAAGTTTCAGATGTAAGACAGGATGCAAATGGTGGGAATGATCGTGTGACCAATTTTTATTTTGTGTTTTTCACATATTTCGTTACCTTCTTTTACTGGATCATATAGAATTGTTTTATGAAAGTAGTTCATCAAATTTATAATTAAATATTAACAATGTTACACTTTTTGACCTTATGTCATGATCGCTGGAAGTCTGGAAGGTGGGTTTAGATACGCATGAATGTATACTTCTATACATTTTTTAATTGAGTTTCACACAATAAGTGAAAATTCTTTCGATTATAATCGACTAAAACTTGATGCAAACATATGATTCTGATTATTGTTAAGCCGTGACAATTTTCTATTTCTTGCCTCGAAAGAATTACTTGCGTGCGGATTTCATCAAGATTATCTCATATCCAAAGATGAGAAAATATTAAGAAGCGTAAGCTACACATCATCTTCTAATGATTTTAGAAATTTCGTTTGAAAATTTAATTGAAGAAAATCACTCAAATGGATTTATTGTTGTATCAAAGACAAAGTCTTTTGAGATGGATTTCGATGTCGCAGGAATTCACCACTTTTGTACATAAGATAATCTATTAAAAATAGCTAATATTTTTTGTGTAGGTTCGCAGTCTGCAGATGATACATGATCATCGTCGGATAAAATCTCATTGATAGAAACTTTACTATACGACTAAGTATCAATAAATTTTCCTGTCGAAATATTTAACAAGTGCTCAATCATGAAAACACACGCTAAATCGAATTACGCTACAGTTTTCAAATTTTTCTTTTTTTATTTCTGTTGTTTGAGCTCTAGCTAGATAAATATTCAATTACATATAGACCATTGCCGGAATGCAATCATTTATAATTGTTACACCTGTTCGTGGACGAAAGGCGAGTTATTCAATATCTGATCGAGTAAACGTTTGGCAATCTAACATAGAAGATCAAACAGCATCTTTGTTTACTTCACACATGGAACCAAGAACATTTACGATCAATCGATATTCTAAATCTCTAGCAAGTTCATTGTCGTATAAAGTATTTGAACACGATTAATCGATATCTTTTCAACTTTTTCCACGAAAAGCAGCCAACAAAGTGAAAGGGACAAATCATTGAGTCTTGGTTTGGATTCACTTTACCAATATTTACTTCTATAGAGTACAATAATGAACTGAAATTTTGAAATACTTTCACGACTACAACGAGAAAGGACTACATATGTAACATATATTCCTGCTAAAGTTTTATTTTTTGATATAGAAAACTTCCAGTAATTAATCTTGAGAAAAAGCAATGAATACGTAGAAGCAAAATAAAATAATGAATAAAAATGAAGCCCATATGGCATCATTTTTTTAAAAGAGCTGGTTGATGGACAAGCTCAGACAAGAAACGAACAACATTTATGATATTTCATAATGATTGAAGCGACAAATTCATTTGCTCAGTTGAGTGGAATAGACAAGAAATTAGAGTCAATTGACATCAGATCATTGTTTGCTGCCCTCCAATAGAATGTGAGATTGTACGTGAAATCAGATGTGTTTCAATGCCACGTATTTTCTTCAATGCTGCTTCTCTATTTGACTAATTGGCATTTCTATGAGAATCTCACACAACGATCTATGAATTCATGGATTCATGAACACAATTTTATTGGAATCATATCACAATATTTATTTAAAAAGAAATTCAACCACAAAAAGACTCTTACATCATCACTAGGCTATTTTTTCTTATTTGCGCGACAAGAGCTTTTATCGACGACAAATTTTTGCACGCGATTATTGAGAGTGTCGGTCACGTAAAGGTTTCCGTATCGATCTAGTGATGCATCAGAAGGATAATAAAGTTGATTGGATTCAGAACCAATACCGTGGCCACCAGCAATGAGACTACCCGATGTTGCTCCTTTCGGCCAACGCATTATTCGATGATTCTGAGTGTCAGCTACATAGACAGTATCCAATTGATCGACAAAAACGCCTGTCGGGAAAGCTAATTGATTTGCACCATTCCCTGAGTTATCAGATTGACCTGCAACAACAACGGCTTCTTCAACTCCTTCAGTTATCTTCACTACGCGATGATTCATATAACTCACCACGTAGATCGATCGGTTTTGATCAACAAACAAAAAATTGGAATGATGCAATCTTGTGGGAATCACATGTCCACTCGTCTCGCCACGACGCCATTTTGTCAATTTACCATTTGCATACTCAGACACATAGATCGACCCTTCGTCATCTTGGCCTATACCGACGACCTGAATATCATCAGCCATGGTTTCCCCGTCTTGAGCACCTCTAGGCCATCGTAAAAGCCTTTTATTGCCCCCATCGGTTATGTACATTGTTCCATTATGATCAACGACAAGATCCTGTGGCATATTTAATAGCATTTTGCGGTTCATATCCCACTTTACTCCAGCAGCTAATTGACCAACCAAATCACCTTGTTTCCATGTCACGATACGATGATTAGAACGATCTGCCACATAAATAGTATCGTTAGCATCAAGAAAAATTCCATAAGGATCGGCCAACTGATCAAGTTCATGCCCGAAACCCTTTCCACCGGCAACAGTAATCCCATTCGTTGCCCATGTCGCTGTCAAACAAAGTTTATTGTCCGATTCTGGTGGTGGAGAATATGTAGCTAAATGATGTAGACCGAAGTAGAAATCAACAATATTGAATTGTATAGTAGAATTCAATGGATATTTGCCTTAGAAAAATAATACGATTCAACTTACTTGTTGTTGTTGTTGTTGTTGTTGTTGTTGTTGTTGTTGACGATATTGGGGGGCACAGTTCGTGACTTGTCATTGATAATGGATAACACAATGGTAGATCTTGACAGTCAGGATGATGAACGCAAACATGGTTAGGTTCCAAACACATATAAGTATTGGGCATACACGAATTAAGTTCAGAACATGTTAACCAGCGAAAACCACACAGATCACTATCAGTAGCAGATGTCGAGTTAAAACAACCGCATGCAATATTAGTTGAACATTGATCATATTGAGATAATCCATAGCATCTTTTAGACTCAGTTCGAACTGTCAACTGATAGAATTAGAAATTGAAAAAATGAAAAGAAACGACAAAAATACCTGACAGACTAAAATGCGAGACTATTTTTAATATTTTGATACGAATCGAATCAAAAATGTCATTTACCTGAAAACAAAGAGCAAGTACCAGTAGTATACGCTTTTTCTCACCATCGTTATTCTCGACTCGCTAAAAAATAATATAGCCATTAATGGTTTCGTTCGTCTCCATAAATGTGACCCAGGTATTGTTTTTTGATACCGTCACTGTGCGCAAGCATTAGCCCTTTCATCCTTCAGCAAACAGAGAAATTCGACCGTGTTCTCCTTCGCAGTGCACACATCACCAGACTCTCTCAATAATATCGCGCCAAAAAAAAAAGTTTTTGTTTTTAATTATATTTCCATTGTTTACCAAAACACATTATATGGATATGGATACAACAGTCTTTTACCTATATAAAAAAAGCAGAAAATGAAAAATTAAAGTTTTCTCGAAGTGGGATTTATATCGAAATGGCAGATCGAAAAGAGACAAATTAATGATAGGGATGGTAAGATTTACTGTTGTTTTAACTAATTATATAATCTATTTTCTTTCAAAGTAGCAAAACAAGTGAAACATGCACTCCAATATTAGACAATTTCATTTGAATAAAATATTGTCTTGAACTGTGAACTGTATTTCTATAATTATAGGTTGATGTAGTCTTTCGTCTAATATTCCTTCTGAACTGCTGTTACCAAAACGAAGGAAAGGTAATGGAGATAATTCTGGTTCTATCGAATTACATCGTGGTACACATGGTCATCTTATGGTGATGATGGAGTCAACCGTCAATAATGGTATGGAAAAGAAGATTGTGTCACCATTTGAAAAGTCTTGATAAATCAACATCTTTAAAAATCGAAATGATGATGAGGATGACGATGGAAAAGTAAACTTCACTACAATTAAATAATTTTGTTTTTGTTTTCTTACATTTATGAACATTATGAATAAGATGATTATCTCTATTAATTGACCGTTATTCAAATGCTATGACTATTTTCGAATTAGATACTTTATCGAAAATGTGTTAAAATAAATAATTAATAAACAAGAAAATGATTCTTTTTAAATCTTTGTATTTAGTATAAGTTGAGGTATAGCTTGATTGAGAATATAGATGAGATATGATTCGAATTTTTTTGATTTAAAATAATATTTACAATAAAGGAAAATATTAATGAAAATGTTTTAGAGGAACAAACGGTTCCTTTGTACGAAGACTGGCCAATTTAGCACAAGTAATTCATAGCCGATATAAAGATTCAGTAAACAAGGTAAATGACAGTGTTTATTGATAAAAGATTGTTGGTTCTCTTTTTGCGGCTCATAATTAAATATATACAATTGTTTCAACAGAGGAAAACTTTGGGAGACGATTTTGAAGAAGTAATGTTCGAAAAGCCGTAAATCCGTCATCATTAAGCATTATGAACGTTATAAAACATGTCGTCCTAAAAAGAATTGCTTAAATAATGAAAACTTCTGAATTGATATATAACTGACGAGAGGAACCACAATCGTTCATTCATTGCATAAGTCTGTTTCAGCATGAAGAAATATCGAAATCTAGAAGAAATAATCTTTGGCTTTCCTCGATAAGATTGAAGATAGAAATATGAAAGTGTACAAGCGAAAAAAGTATTGCTATTCTGTGTTCAGTTTATCGGACGTCTTGTCTAGGTACTGGTATGAGATATTCTCAGTGAGAATCAAGCAGTAAAATGAATTTATTTGATAATTTTGTGATTGGAAAATAACAATTTTTTTTTGTAAAAGTTAAAGTCATAGTTTAAGTGAAATAAGAAAGAAATGAAAAGTATTATTGAAGTCAGTCATAAGTAGAAAACTTTATTTGTTTTCCGTGGATTATGCCATTCTGGCTAGTTAATGATCAGCTTCGGTCGCCGATTGACATCCGGATGACTACTGGAGCAGAATTTGACGACACGATACCGCATTTCCGTTTGCAAAACTAATTCTAATCCGTAATTTACTTGAGGTCCAGCAAGACGCATATCATATACCAATTTTGTCACATTCAGTGTCACGTTGTACAATTCTTCCAAAGTAGTTGCCGGAATTACAACTTCATTTCTTGATGTTGTCGTCGGCTGATTGAACCATGTCACATTAACCGGTGACCATGGAGATATGACGCGTCGAATAACGGCTTCATTTGTAATACGTATTCCTCCATAGGCCTGAAATGGAGCATTAGTTTCATTGAGTGAACCCCCAAACAGCTTCAAAATAGCCGTAAAATTATTTATCCTATTCAATGGGATTTCATCAATTTCGCGAAATGTAAATAAACTGCGACCATATGTTGGACCACAGCCACCTGCATAATTCGAATGAGCATAAGCAACCAAAAATGAATCATTCAATGAAACTCCCTGATATGACCTGCAAAAGTCACTTGTCATATAAACAGCTGTTTGAAGAAAGGCATTGTAATTGCTTACTAAAAATATCATTTCAAAAGTCTTATAAAATTTGATGATCTACACTAACTCTGCTTGATTATTTGTGACACTTGATTATCCGCTTGTTGATTTGTCTCATTGACAAGGGTGAGGACGCCAGTCAATTTGTTTGCAATTGTATCAGTGAAAGTTTGAAAATTTGTGTTGCTTCCGAAGACTGACTGAATAGCCAGTACCATTGCACCCGTTCGAGCAAACTATAAAACACGTTTATTTTTCTTAGTATCGAATTGCTCGATTATTCTCAAAAATACTACATACTTGTGTATCACCAGTATTAGAAACATCGGTGATACAAGCACTTTGAATGTTACTAATTTCACGAGCAGTGAGATTTTTTGGTGCAACACGAACAAAACTATCGATGTACACTTGACAAATTTCCTTAGCTTTCGCTGACACTAGCGTTGTATTCATATCGCTTGAATTTATTTGTGTAACAGCACGTCGACGACGACCAGTGATTGGAGCACATCCACGTTTACATAGGCCATCAGACATTTTGATTAAGCAAAGACTCTGATATACGAATATTGAATAGTATATGTTACTGTACGCACTTCCCCAGTACTAAAAGAAAAGAGAGCAAATAGTCGGAGAAAAATTTTCTACAGTAGCATGACCTGGGATTTCTAAAACGTAGGCTACCTGCAGCAACGTCAAGCAAAGCATTTACCATTGATAGAGTTCGAAAAACTGCCAAAACATTAGCATTCTTTTCAAGTCGAATGACTCAAATGAAAAATATAATTTGCTAGTAGATTCTATTTACGTTTCTTGAAGCTTATTCAGGTGAAGCTTTAGTCCAACAAAAACTGTTGTTTATTTTTTGCAACTTGAGAAACAAGAACTGTCTTTTCCTATGTTATACGCGGGTTCATGTGTCTATCTTCTTTTGTCAAAAGTGCGTGATATATATAATTCATGCGCAAGCACTCCCAAGACTGTGCATCAGTGAACCCATATAATTCCTCTGTATATACGTACTTAATTGAACATTAGAACTCTGAAAATTCTTAACAGTAGCTCGAGAGCCTAGTTAACGTTTGTGGAAAAACCGACAAGAAAAGTGGTGTAAACTATCAGGAGTGATCATGATCATAGTGAATAAGAGCCGCTACTACACTCGGTAAGCTTTCGAATAAAAATTTCGACGAAACGAAATCTCTGAAAATGTTCAATTTCTAATCGCTAAAAGATAAAAACAAAACGTTTTTTTACTCATAGATATTTTACAAGTTATATGTTCGATAGGAGTTTCTTATATTTTGAACGTATCAAATTTCAACAGTGAAAAATACTGTATGAATTCGAAAGAGAACTAAAATTTATTAGATATGATAAAAATTTATTAGACTTATAATCGTGATAAATTCACAACATTTAATCAGCAGTCAATTCAAATTGTCTATCAATTGTAGTTGCTATTCCAATCGAATGCGATCAAAAGTAATAATTTGAACAAAAGCATTAGGTTTAAATAATCTTAACAGAAGAATCAATACTTCCATATATCTTTTTATCTTCATTTTTTGCACAAAAACTCATACAAATAATTCGAATCTGCAAAAATTCGATCGATTCAACTAGATCTATATATCGGACGATTTCAACATGAATTATAGTACAGCTTTGACGTTCTCAAAAATAATTGACGACTGATTATCATTTTCTCCCGTACTACCATAAAGTTTTTCTTTTGTAATGACTCGATATAACTCTGTATGTTGCAAATGTGAACTATCATGAATAAGGAATATATTAAATGATAGTTTAGCAATCACTTGCCTAAGTCTTTTTCAAAGTTTGTTACAGTGAAAAATTCTAGCATCGTGATTCCTTCAGACGGTCTCTTTAGAATCATCTCTAAGCTTACCGTTTTCCGGATAAATACGCTGAAATCAATTTTGTCATAGGTAATCGAAATAGAGTCCGGTCCAGTATTGATCGTCACATCTATAGACATTAAGCAATTATCATAGTGACTGGTCGATCTGATTTTGAAATACGTACCAGAACCACAAGATGCTGTAGCAGAGGAAAACTGATTCGCATTGAACGTACAGATTGGAATGCCATCGTCATTCAGAAAGACGAAATTGAACTATTCAAAGCGATAAGTAGATAAAATAGTGTAATGGTTAGAGATGTAGTCGTGGAACTTACATCCAAAACAATGTATGGATATCCGCTCACCACCATACTAGCCGTAACGTATTTGTTTCGAACTATCGATTGTAGACCAGAATCTTGACACCAAAATTCTTGTGGTTGCTCGTTAGCATTCGATGGGAAACTAGTCAATAGCAAAAAATAGAATATTTACTCAAAGAACTGAGTCTTATTGGCGTAACAAGAATCTCGTCGTTTCTGAGGCATCTCACGATGTGTGATTAGCTCCCGTTGAGACCAGTCATTCTCATTCACAGAACAGTGACATTTTAACCCTAAAACTTAACCATTTATACAAGACGATCAATCTCAGTTCGTCTAATTGGTGATTACGCCAATGTGGAACCTATCTATCTCATACCGAGTTACGTGTGGATCTCCCCATATTGTGCACGGGTACCGTGGTTCGCTAGTCAGTGAAAATCCTAAATGAATAAACACTAAACAATTAGTTGTTGAGAATATCACAAAACACAGTTACCTGCTAGTGAAAAAGCAATGAAATTAACAAACCAAAATGCTGCCATTTTGTTACTGTTCGATGTATGGTACTGAATCATACATTTTATTTCTGTTTATATAATATTCTGAAAGCGGAAGTGAGTGATGTTCGATTGTATTTTTGCATAAAATCAGGAGTGAAAATCATGTAAAATATTTTTGTTGTGACACAAGAACGCAAAGCAAACAACTACTTCTATGACGACACCCGAGCATAATCATGACATTAGTAAATAAAATAATATACTGCATGTTTCTTTTAGGCATTACTTCAATTAATGCACGCATGATCTTTTTCTGATATTATGGTTCTCGAGAGTTTATTTACATTGAGTCTTCCTGCCGAGCTTGACAGTAAAATTGATGCATAATACTTTGTTATGAAGTGGTCGCATACTTCTTTTCTTTTTATGCCCAACTGTCTATAACAAGCCATTGATATTCATCAGCGGTACTGATACTCAAATAGAAGAGTAAATTTTGATTTCATTTTCTTTTCAATGTTTTGTTTGTATAAAGATTTTCATTGAATAATACAGTAATCCTTCCTTGTAGATCTACTCTACGTAGCCTATTTTTAATTGTTAAAAATAACTATGACCTTTCAAGTGTTCAGAATTATTCAAGACAACATTGGTTGAACACTGTTTCTTATGCAGTTCTATAGTGTTTGAGTGTTTCATTATTCTAAAATATGATCTCGTTTTGGTAATTGCTTGAAATTCAATCGTACTCTATTCAATGTTTGTGCAATTTCACGTTTCCCATGTGTTTTTGAGAAAAAGAACCCACATCCAAAATGAATTCTTTCGAATCATTGTATTTACTATACGTTGAAGTATATAGCTTGATTAAGAATCTATATGAGATATAATTTTGATTTGTTTGATTTAAAATAATAATTATGCATAGACTTGTTTTACAAAACGATAGATAAATAAGGTAAATGGCAGTGTTTACCGATGAAAAAAAATTGATAAATGTCATCGATTGTTGCTTTTCTTTCTGCGGCCCATACTTATATATATATATATAAAATACTTTCAAAAGAGAAAAATTTTGAGAGATGATTTTGAAGAAGTAATGTTCGAAAGACCGTAAATCCGTGATCATTAAACATTGAACGTTATAAAACATGCCACCTGGAAAAGAATTGCTTCAATAATGAAAATGATTGAATTGATATGCAAGTGAATAGCTGCGATCTGTAGTTGTTTTCTATTGAGAATATTTCAACCCCTGTGAAGCAACTGCTTCATATCCTCTCCCAATGAAACTACGCTGAATATCTGGATTCGATGAAAGAGCTATTTCAATATTCTTCTTGACCATATTTGTGCTTATACTGAAAGTAAATTTGTTTAATTGTGCCATATAAATAAGAATTGAATCATATAATTGGTGTCAACTCTTATTAGTGACAGAAATAATATCAATTCCTCAAAGTAATGGAACAATTCTATTATCATAAGCAAATGTACGTGAATATGAACATAATGTGAAGTATTTAAGTTTAGGAAGATTTTTCTATGAAAAAAAATAAAACAAAGTATGCTTATCTATCCAGCTCACTGCTTTTTTGGAAGATAGCAATACTAACCGTACTATCCATAGTTTCTGATGTATATCTAATTTTTTCCGCATATATTTTCAGTATTGATAGACAACTGAGATGTCCACCAAGTAGATAAAGACCATCATCGAAAGTTTTCACACTAATTTCCGATGTAGTCAAAGTAGAAGACTTGCAATTGATTGACAATAAGCGCAAAATAGAAATCGTTGGTCGAATTGACAAAAATCTAACTTGATTAATCCTTTACATTAAGATAAAATCATAGCAAACATAGTCGAAAGATTCTCAGGAAGTGGTGATGATTTTGTCTTGTTCATGACATCAATTTAAAGACATGTTATTGGTTCAATCAAAAGCTTTCGAAAAATTGTATCACCTTCAGTATTATTGTGTTAATTAAAATATAGAAAACAAAATAGTTAACCTGCTAAGTATTTGATTAGTACTTCTCTTTGAAAATCTACAAGTGATAACGAATAAAGTTGGATATAATGGATTGTGTGAAGAACGCGTTCCATTGAATTTTGTTCAACAATGAATTTATTTATTTTATGATGAATTCTAGGTAAAATATGTTTACAAATTCTATCAAGAACTTGATTGTCTATTGCAAAGATAAAATCAAAACATGATTTCATCTCCATAGAAGCCATACCAAGATTACGAATATAAACTGGATCAAATACTAATTGATCAAGTCGTTGAGTAACATCCACATGTAAGTAGAGAACATCGACCATATTTAGCATTTTCTTTTAATTTTAAATAAAATTTTATTGGACAACGAATTGTTCATTTCTAATACATAAATTTCAATAACGTACATTTGTTTTGACATATTTTTCTTGTTCTCATTGCCATCTGAGCGAACCATGGAAGATAAATGTTCATGGTAAAATAATAGTCTACGATAAACAGATGTTGCCCTTTTTCTTTCTCTCCAGCATTGCCTTTCGTTCATGGACAAGTCATTTAGACCGGCAGCTCTGATCTAAATGGGTATCGATTGAACATGCAAATATTGTTCGTGAGTCATATACTTCGGCCATGTCGATAAGAGCGCACTGAGCCATATCGCTATTAAGTATCAAGCTTTCAAAAGAATGAATTTTACTCTTGAAGAACCTCGTTTCATTAGAAGTAAGATAGACTGTTGTTGTTATATGTTCAAATACGAACATTGGAAACCAATGCATATTTGATGAGAAGCTTTTCATTTTAGAAACGTTTAGTCTTTTGAAAAATTAAATCTTCCACATAAACAATCCGATCTCGGAAAGTGACTTAACAGTCATCAAATTTCCAATTGAAAAAGGATATAGCACAAAAGAGCATACAGCATTTCATTTCGACAATAAAAAAACCTGCACATTAAGCCAAAATATTTCCACTTCATCAGAGTACAAATTCGTCACTTTTAAAAAAGTTACGAAATTAGGGCGGCATTTCCAATTTATTAGTAGGAAAAAATTGAGTGTCCTAGTAGTTCTTATAGGTTGTGATAGAGAGAAAGATTCTACATCGAATAGGCCTATTTTCAACAAATGTACACTAAAACTTAATGAACTGTTAAGTTAAAAGCTGATTTCTCAGGCTTGTATAGAGGATTGCAAATCTTTCTTATTGTCCGATTACTCCCACGAAATGAAATGATATTTAAAAGAGCACACTTAGGGTTATCAAAATGGTTAGACCTGAAACAGAATAGAGACAAAAATGTTTTTCTAAATCCTTGAGGTGAACCTCAGGCATAAGAAGATGAGCTGTGATGAATTATAAAATAAACTTGAGAAAAGCAATCAGACACACAGGCTGATTCTCAGGATACTAAAATTAAGTTCACATTTGTGTACAGCTATGATTGCTATTTCACACATTTTCAAAATCCAATATTTTTTCGCACAAGTTACTTAATCACTTAATTTTAAGTGAATTAAGTGTTAACGCGAAAAGCTTAACACTTAATATTAAATTAACGTAAAGTGCCATTCCTATTTACTATTGTTAAAGTCACGTATTTTCCTCGTAGCAATGATGTGTATCCATCCAGACAATTTATTAAATTTAAATGATTTTTCAATCTAAAAATTTAATTTAAATTAAATTAAAATTCTGAAAATTTTATATTTTATTTAAATTTAAAGTTTTGTATGAGAAAAATTTTAATTTATTTTAAATTGAACTTTATACAATTTTATTTAAATTTTGAGTTTACTTTTTTCGAAGTTAAATTTAAATTACATAAACTGTAAATTGACACGCCTAGTTAATTGACTGTTACGTCAAAGTTTGATATTTTGGCTGTGAAACGTCTTCTCGCAACCTGACATCGCAGCCACCCTCTGAAAAAATATAGGAATTTCTATATAGGATAGGTCTAAAATAAATAGGATCACCCTCAGCTATATAGGAAAAATATAGGATGCAAATTTGTTCTAGAAAAAGATTTAGACACCGAAAAATCACTGCAGCAGCATTGAAGATGATAATGTGTTGTTTTTGCACGTATATCTAATCAACTAAATAAAAATAACGGGTACGTCAGAAAAAATGGCCCACTTTTGTTTCGATGTTCATGCTTACTAGATATGCTTTATTTAAAATCAAATAATATCAATAAATGCAAGATGTCTAGGGGTATAATATCCACTAAAAATATTATCTAATATAGTCACCGTTTGTTCTTAAAATAGAAGAAATTCTACTTGACCAAGTTTCTACACTGCGAACGACACTAGTACTTGGTACACGACTAACACCTTGCTTTATTTCTTCAATTAAAGAATTGTAATTCTTAACTTTTTCCCAATGAATATTATGATTGATAGCATCCCACACGTAGTAATCCAAAACGCTCAGGTACGGACTATTAGGAGGCCGTTTAGTTTCATCGATGAATCTGCTAAAGTTGTTTCGAATCCATGTTAATGAATCTTTATGTGTATGCGGTGTTGCATTATCTTGTTGATATATGAAATCTTCACCCAATAGACGTTGACCTTCAGCTAATCCATGTGGAAGTACAATATCAATATAATTTTTGTGTGTTAACGTTTCACCAGCCTTAAAAATAATTGGAGTTGTAAGACTTTCTTTACATGCACCTAGCCATATCATAATGCGTTTTGGAAATTTCGATAATCTATGTATTCCTCCATGTGCATCGGCTTCTTGACGACTTGATGCATAAACACGATCATTTTGACGATTGTATATACCATTCATACCAAAATATTTTTCGTCAGTAAATAAAATTAAACCATGGTCTTTCTTTCTTAATGATTTTCTCATCCAGTATGCAAATGATTTTCTTCGTTGCTTGTGAGCATCCTGAATATTTGGTTGAATTGTAACATGATAAGCATGTAAGTGAAGATCCTCTTGAATCACACGACGCATTGTTGCTTCACAAACTCGAATCGATTTAGCTAATTGTCTTGCACTTCGTCGACGTTTATAAGTAAACCTCTGCTTCACCTTTTGGATAAGTTGTTTTGTTCGTACAATTCAAGGTCTACTACTTGGTACATTTAAATCAATCGAACCTGTTCTTTTATATAAATGTTGCCATCGTCTAACTATACGATCACTCACCACATTTCGAAATTCTTTTGCAATTTTACGTGATGAAATTCCAACATCAGTCATTCGCATTATCACTTTTCGAAGGTCTTTAGATTTCATCATAAAAACTAGTGTAAAGTCGACCTATAGAGTTTATATTGTACTGTTATGTAGCTGTACTATAGTCCAAATATACGATATTAGAATAGGGGGAAAATATGGATAAAGCACATAGATTTTGATTAGTACAAAAGTGGGCCATTTATTATGACGCACCTGTTATTATTGAGTTTTGAAAAGTAATGGAGCAGCAAGATTTTCTTAAAACATAAAAAGGCTAATTTATATTCGATTTATTTTCAACTAT